TAGAATGTGCGAGGTAAAGGGAACCAATTCGGCGTTCCCAGAGACTGAAACACATGAGGAGACGTTGTAGCAGACCGTGCGTCACGCACAACACATGGCCTTACCGAGACGCTGATGAGTCGGGCCACACAGAGGTTAGGGTTTAGTGGGTATTAGGTAGTCTCCTCAAGACAACCTGGAGTCTCACACACGCCATAGCTCGGGCTATGGTAAGGTGCGTAAATGCATTCTCCCTCACCAAAAAAAAAAACGCGAGATGCGGCAGAGAGTACAGATTACACGAGAGAAGAGCGGAGTGGAGTATAGTGCAGTCAATGGCGACATACGAATTAGTCAGACATAAATAGCGGTGTATATAAATGTTCTATCGAGTTAAATAAATTAGTGCATTTCTTTTTGTAGAATCCAGTGTTTCAATCCACACCCAAAAGAACCCAGAAAAACGCTACAATATTGCAGTGGGTATATCTAAAAAAGGGATGTTATAAACATTTTACGCGGAATTTGAGAGGATCTGCATGATCATTTATATTCAGCTACCGCTAACACAGGCGCCCCTAAGAAGGAAGATTCATATTTTGACCAGCAACTGCGCTGCAGATATACTAAGTGACATATAAATCCGAACACCTAGTTTAAATGGTTTTATTTTAATAAAATGTACTGTATATAAGTTCTTAATGAAGCATAATAAGTAAATGATAAAAATTTCAAAATGATTGCACTGCTTTAAAGCCCTTTGACCTTTAATAATGTGTGGATGCACCCTGATGTGCTACGCATTCTCCAACGCGCCTAGGCATGCTTCTGATCAGGTGGTCAATGTCCTCCTGTGGTATCTCATTCCAGACAACCACCAACTCCTCTCGAAGTGCTTCTAGAGTCTGAGGAGGACGTTGCAAATTGACCATTCTCCTACCCATCATAAGTCGAGAGATCTTGGTGGCCATGGTAACAATGTGACATCATTATGTTGAAAGAAGTCTATTGTGACTCTTGCAACATGTGGTCGGGCATTATCTTGTTGGAAAGTTGGATCTACCAGGGTGTCAAGATAGGGTAAAAGATGGGGTTCTAGAACTTCGTGGATATAACGCTGCGCGTTCATGTTACCTCTGATGAAGATTAAAGGTGACCTGGAACCATAAGCTATAGCACCCCAAACCATAACTCCAACAATGTGATGAACATGTCTTTCAACAAAAAACTGTGGATTCCTCCTTTCACCACGTCGCCTTCTAACCCTGGCACGACCATCGTGCATGCCTAAACAAAATCGAGACTCGTCACTAAAGACAATACTGTTCCATTCCTGATCTCAGAGTGACCGTTGTCTGCACCACTCAAGGCGATTACGTCGGTGTTCTCGAGTTAAAGGGAGGATCCAGTGTAGCCGGTATGAAAACAAGCCAAAACTTCTCATTCGTCGGTAAACACTTCGCATGCCAATAGGTGTTCCGTGTTCTGCAAACCATTCATTTGCAATGGACCTGGTAGTGGAGAAACGGTCCCTTAAGGCCAATAATCTTAGGCGGCGATCTTCACGGTCTGTTGCTCTTTGCGTACGGCCTTCTCGAAGCCATGCCTGACAACACCTAACCACAGTGCCTACACTTCTTTGCATTCTAACTGCAATTGCCCGAAAAGAAAGTCCAGCTTCCCGAAGTCCCACTATACGGCCCCTATCAAACTCACTAAGTTGACGAAATCGTACAGGTCTCCGTACTCTAGGCATCGTAACCGATGTAAAGGATGTCAAGAACCAAAATCCGCCAACGTTTATTCTTTACTGCGGCTGAAATATTCATTTTTAGAGCGTTAGTGAATTAAAAAAAAGCAGTATAAAAACCGGAATGTCCAACTGATAAGGCTGAAAATTTTTTCACTTGTTACTTACAGTAAGATAAATACATTCACCAACTTTTACTAAAATAAAACCATTTAAACTGGGTGTTCGGATTTATATGTCACTTAGTATATTTACATTCTGTATCTGACTACTACGGCATTTATCACCACCTAATGCATACAAAGAACAATCAAATCGTTATTCTATCATTGTCGAGAAGTGTTGTTTCTTAGATTTAGTAGATGTTGTTTAAAAAATCCTGCATTTGCCGTTTGCTTTATTGGGCCTCTAATTATTTGCTGTCTCTTTTAGACCAAGAGCACCTGAAGCCCATCGGAATGTTACAATATTCGCGCATCTAATTTCTTAACGTTACTATCATACTTTACTTACATAACGGAAGTTATAGCGGATGCATCAAATTCGACAATCACCATTTGAAACAATACGAAGTTGGTAGATGAAGGCAAATCTTCGCATTTAGGTTACTAAGAAAATCGCACTTCGAAGTCGAATATTTTTAATAGGAGGCAAGAGCGCCAGCCTTACTATTCGCGAATGCATTATTTACTGGGAAGACAGGAATACCGACTAAGAGCCGTTTTACACACAAGAGAATTACTCCGAAAATTATGGTCATAATTATGTTGAAAATTTGCATGGAAAAAATATTGAAGATTTTCTCTACAACCTGTATGACACAAGCAAACAAAATTTCGGAGTAATTCATATGATACGCCTGCGCATTAGAGTTATATTTTCAAATGGACATAACCTTAACGGGTATGACGTCCAATATAATCGGAAAGACAACAGACGTCGATAATTTAAATTTATTTTTGAAATCGAGATCTTGGTTAATATTATGCTTGGACTATCGCATCCAGCGCCTGACGCCGCAAATTTCTGTTTTTGTAATTGGGTGACTTCACCTTGTACAGGTTTGGCCATTTTTGGTATTCCTCCAACAACATTGTAAATTCTTCCCGATTCCACGACATTATGAATAAACAATAACAATAAACGCTCCTTCGTACGACTCGAACATGACCACTCCCACAAATGTTAAGTGAGGTTATGTTGTTGTTGTTTTCGTTGACATTTGATATTGACATGCACGGAAATAACCCTCTGCGCCGATTCTCGCGCATATAATATAGAACGGGTTTTATATTTTTACCATGAAAATTTCCACAAGAATTCTTTTACGTGTAATACGACAGCAAAAATTTTCGGCATAATTATGACCATAATTTTCGGAGTAATTCTCTTGTGTGTAAAACGGCTCTAAATCTCTACCAAACTGTGTTAAGCAACCAGTTACCTTTTACCAAGTTTAGAGATTAGTAAAAAATGCAAGCATTGATGCTATTATTGACTGGAATCCTGAAGATAAAGTTCAGATTGCTTGTTACCTCATAAATAAACAATATATGCTCCAAAAGATTAAAAAACAATGACAGAGCAGGCACAGAGTCCGTCGACTTAAACTCATCTTTTAAAACAGTTTAGGCAAACTGCTTTGTCCTAATAGGTCTTGGTAACCGTCAATACGTTTTAAATGATAGTCCACAAATCGACTTTGATAGGGATAAGTAGGGTTGCGGGTATTAAGCGATGCCTGGTATGTTGCGATAAAGAGTGGTCATTGAATTATAGGAATCGAAAACTTGGAGGGGTTAGCGTAATATAAAATGCGAAGCTGGAATATGGAGATATGTTTTTGAATTATGTATGAGATTATAGTTCGTATACCTTTGCTGTTGGATACCATTACGACGAAAAGTGGTAATTTAACTATACAGGGAAAACCAGATTTGCCTGTCAGCTTGAATTCAATGTCGACGAGTCCGAAGCGCGAGCAGTGTGTTAGAAAGAGGTAGAAGCCGGCTGAAGAGCGAAGAATCACCAACCACACTGCCTAGCAACGATGACGCGGAAGATCGTGTAATCTGCGCGTTCCCAATGTTCGCACAGGCATTCACAATAGGTTAGGATATTGTCAAACCCAAGAAGGTCTGTTCAAACATTTAATTTTGTTTTATTTTCGTAAGTTTTCTATATCTTTCTATTTTCATATTAAATCAAACGTAACTGCCGCTTTGACGTTCTAGATGACTCCGTTGTTACCCCGGGATAGACATACGTTTTAAACTTGACCTTGTCATTCTTGTCACCTGAATTGCGGCGTTGCCAGCTCATCGGACGATTTTGCTACCTCTGCTATTTTGCAATCGCCAATTCCTTGGACTGAAAATATTTTTTTGTTCGTGGCCTTGCTAATAGTTTTGAGATCTTTCAGAAATGAATGTAAGTACATAAACATACTTACAAGAACGTCTTTGTAAATTTTCTTTCTATGATAATGTATTACAGGGTGATCAAGATAAGAATCAGACTAGGTTAAATTCAGTAATCCCACAATCTTACATCAAGCATTTGTTTGCAACACCTACTTAAATAAAATGAAAAAGAATAAAAAAACACGTTTGTTTTCAACTAAAAAAACAAATGTAACGTGATACATCGTTGAAGTCGTAGAAAAGGATGCTATTAGTTACAGGGTAGTACTTTTTAAGAACAACCATTATGTAGTGCCTAAATAGTGTCATTAGTTTTTTGACGAGTCAGACAAAAATAAAAACGATTTGGACAAATACCTCAGTATATGACTAATCTCTCAGTGTATGCAATGTGCGCAATTTATTAAAGAAAAACATAGGGTGTCAACCTTAGCACACAAGTAGATGAGGATGCAAGGCTCACCTAGTTTGCTGCACTGATATCCTGTTTCCCTCAGAAGAGTTGGAAGTAGACTTAATTTCCACTTTGGAGACACTTGACACCCACCAAAAAATCAAGTTGAAGTAATTATTTTTCCTGGGTGTAACACTAGTAATGTCACCGAGTATACTTACCAAAGGAAGATACAGGAAAGTATGTATTTGGGAACAGAAGCAGAAAGAGCTCCGTATTATCTGCAAACTTCTAAAGAGAAGCACCAGGACAAAGTAGGGCTACCTGATAAAGAATCCTACAGAGTCGGGATTGCATGTCGAATATTGCCGACAAACACATAATTTGATAAATACACAGCGATGAAAAATTATAACAAATCATTTTCAAATAAATCAATTTATTATGTCTTTGTGTGTAAATAAATCGCATATTAGATAATATAGTAAATATACCGGTACAAAATGTTGACGGTTCAACAAAGTTCTGCACTGTTTGATACTAAACTTCCAGTCATTATTCACGTCTAAACAATCTATTGAATCACAAACATTTAATCGGCATCTTTCTCGGAGATTGCACATGTACTCAAATCTTACAGCGTATAAAAGTGTTTCACTACTGGTAACCAACTGTACAAATTCCGTACCGGTAATACTTTTTTACATAACAAATTACATGATGGTACTATCCCACCTTAATATCAACATATGAAATAGCTTAAAATGTCATCAAAACTGCCGTATAAAAATGTAATGACACCGAACTTTCTACTTTCATTTTTTCCCACTGGTAAATGCTTCGCAAGGAATTTTATCTGATTTATACAAATCCACAAATAGAGACAGCGCCTTTGCCAATTCGTGGTCGCACTCCTCCAAGCACCTGAAAATATCAGCAACTACAACACGGAAATGGTAAGACTGTTGGTGATATTAAAAAGTATGTATCGGTAAAACGTTAATAGACTTAAATTTAACACTGATAAAACAAAATGTATGTCAATTAGGTATTTGACTTGTTTTCAGAGCGAATATTTCTTAGCATTCAGATTCCGTTCGCGCAAATGTTTTGAATGAACGAATTTCTTTGTATATCAAAGCTTGAAGACATTTCATTAATTCGATATTTCTAAACTGTCTACGGTTAGTAGAACTGGGGACAGTCTTCTCAGGCTTCGATACTGCTTTTTTACGCTGGAACTGAAAATAAATAAAAAGTGCCCAGCCTTACTTCTTCGCCCAATCGGCGTTTAGACCGGTGATCATCCTGAGCGCATCGTTGACCTGCCGAAATTCTCGCGCGCTTTGCGGTACTTTAGCAACTTCCACTCCAATTGTTGGTCGAGGTCTAGCGGGTGCTACTTTGAAAGCGCTCAGCCTTTGGAAGGTAAATGCGTTATAAACGTGATACAACTCGTTTATTATCAGGCACTCGACATCCCCATCTGTAATACACAAATTTTTCATACTTAAAATACAAACTTGTCCAATCCGCACTTACCAAGGATCTTTGCGGTACTGAGGACGAAAGTACGAGCAAATCCGTATATGCGTTCGGGATCTAGCAAGTTTTCGGGATGTTCTCGGAATACGCCATTTACACATACCACAGACGTTGTATCCTGCAACAAGTAGGTTCGTACAGATTTTTATGTTTCATAAAATAAAGGGTTGTCCAAAACGAACGCAGGAAAGTAAACGCATATTAAAACAAGAAAGATTTATATGCAAATCGCTCAAATGTTCACCACGACTGGATTTACAGACGTCCACGCGATGGTCGAAATTTTCAATGACATTTTGCAACATGGTCGGTTCTATGGCATTTATCTCGGCAACGATGTTGTTTTTGAGTTCTTGGAGGGTGGCTCGTTTGTTGACGTAGACTTTGCTTTTCAAATATCCCCATAAAAGAAGTTCAAGGGAGTCAAATCGCACGATCTTGGTGGCCATGGCACATTTCCTATGCGCGAAATCACGCGATCACCGAAGAAGGACTGCAATCGATGGATATTGACGTTGGTTGTGTGGCATGTTGCACCGTCTTGTTGGCAATGAACATCGTCCATATCCATTCCTTCAAGTTGCGGCAAAAAATAGTCCTCTATCATCACGTGATATCGCTCAGAATTGACGGTAACGGCGTCCCCGGCCGCATTTTCGAAAAAGTAAGGTCCGATGATGCCTTTTGACCACAATGCACACCACACAGTCACTTTTTGAGGTTGCATCGGCTGCTCTTGATACGCACGAGGATTTTCGTTCGCCCAGATGCGGTAGTTTTGCTTGTTTACCGTCCCATTCAAAGTGAAATGCGCTTCGTCGCTGAACATGATTTTTGATGAAAAATGGCATCAATTTGGCGGTGTTCAAGGAGCCAATCTGAGAACGTTCGGCGCGAAAAATGGTCGGCCCGACGCAGCTCTTGCGTCAATTGGATCTTGTAGGCGTGTAGATTCAAATCCTTGTGGAGAATGCGGAGCAAACTGGTTCTCGAAATGCCCAATTCTTGGGATCGACGCGTTGTTGATTGTTTCGGATCGTCTCTCACACTCTCCTTCACAACAGCAATATTTTCCGGTGTGCGAACGCTCCTTGGCCGGCCAGAGCCTGGCAGATTTGCCACAGAACCTGTTGCCTCGAATTTACGGACCAGACGACCGATGGTTGTTTCGTTTGGGCGGTTGTTGCGACCGAAATGTTCACGAAGCGCGCGAAACGTGTTTTTTATTTTTGCACCATTTTTGTAGTGCTCTTGAATAACTTAAATGCGGTCTTCAATCGAATACGACTCCATAGCGATCAATGGTAAACATTCAACTAACAAAATGACATGTCGGTGACAGAAAACAAAGATGGCGTCTATGTTAAATTGACGTTTACTTTCCTGCGTCCCTATTGGACAACCCTTTATATCTTATGATGACATATAGAGGTTCACTGATAGTCCGTGGCGTAGCTACCTTGGGTGGCACCCGGTGCGGACGTTGGTGGTGTCACCCCATCGAAAGTCAAAAGCAATAAATTTTGTATGATTTATAAACGTCATGGGGTGCTTTGCGTCTTGTAGAACTTCCGATTTCACTGTTTTTTCTCTTAAAACTCTTAGAGGGTAGTCTGATAGATTATTTAGAAACAAAAAAAGTGTGGATGAAGCACGCTTTTCATGAAAAAACATTGTATTGTTAGCTGTTCTTTCCATCATTATTTCCACCGACATCTATCTGCCATATGACGTAGACGCCTGTGCATATGTCATATATGAGGAGCGCTTGCCTGCGGTGTTGCCGGATTGGGCTCCGCATGTAGGGTAAAAATATGAAAAGTTGAAAATTTATATACATATGTATATTAATTAATGATTCACAAAAACGAAAAACTGAAACAAACAACAGGAGCAAAATAAAAGGCGATTCCTAATAAGTATAAATCAAAAAATAACAGTAGTGAGCTAAAAAATGATAAATTACAAATAATTATAGAAAACAAAAAAAAAGTAGTAAAACAAAAACTAATTCCATGTAATTATAAAAATCAAAAAATAACAAACAGCAGTAAAATAAAAAGTAGTAAAACAAAAAAAAAACCATGTTGAATAAAAAGCAATTCTAAGGCCCGTATCGTCAGTCGTCCCTACAATTGTAGGGCGCGTTTATAGCCTCCTTGATTTTCATACTCCTTTCACTCCTTCAAAAATTTCTAGATTACACTCGTCCCGTGTCAGCGTCAGCGCTCTCCTATTGTTAAGATATGTTTTCCTTTTAAATTGTAGGAAATTTCAGGCTGATAAAACATGATATAACTCAAAAGCAAGCACAATTTGATGCAAATAGATGTTTGTGAGATAACCTCAAAATAGAGCTCTGACACGGAGAAGTAGAAAACTATGACAATCAAGGAGGCCATAACCCGCCCTACAATTGTAGGGACGACTGACGATACGGGCCTAAGTGACAACGCAGAACAAAAAGTAAAAACAGTAGGAAAACGAAGAACAATTTCATTCCATCCAAATTGCTTTGTATTTTATTGTTTGTTATTTTTTGTTTTTTTATAATTATATGGAATTGTTTTTTGTTTTACTACTGTTTTAATTTTTTGTTTTTTATAATCACTTTGAATTGCTTTTTACTTTACTGCCTTTTGTTATTTATTGTTTTATACTTAGTAAGAATCACTTTTAATTTTACTACTGCTGTTTGTTTCAATTTCATTAATATATGTAAATGTATATAAATTTTCCACTTTTCATATTTTTCCGTAACTACGGAGCCCGATCCGGCAACACCGCAGGCAAGCGCCTCTCATATATGACATATCCACAGACGTCAGCGTCATATGGTAGATGGCGGTGGAAATAACTGCTAAAAAATAGTGTTATGGAAAAAAAAATTCACGAAGTGTGCTTAATCCACACTTTTTATGATGTAAAATAATTTATCCTACCCTCTATAAGTTTCAAGTGAAAAAACAGTGAAATCCGAAGTTCTCCAAGACGCAACAGTACCCATCATGGATCATTTAATATTTATATTTGAAATATTGAACAATTAACAAAACATAATAAAAAGTAAAACATAAAAAATAGTTTTATCTTACAATTAAAATTTCTTCTTTCTCGGTTTGACAGCTGCAAACTCAGAAATAACGTCATCAAATACTTTGTATTGCCTCGTGTTCGATGGCTAACATGCCAAGATTGTTAAGCCACGTTTGAGCCATTGTTGCCCGCAAATAGTTTTTTTTATTAATTTTAGATTACTGAAACTCATTTCAGATGAAGCTAAGGACACGCAAACCGAACATTTTTAGTGTAATCATAAGATTTGGAAGAGATTCTGTAAAATTTCATTCTACAAAAAATCTAGAGATACCCAATCAGAAACTGTAACATTTGCGGCTTTCGCAGTCTTGGCATCTCCAAAAGTAATTCTGTTTATGAGACATCATCATAAAAATCAGTAAATTTGGTTGTAGCTAATTTCAGTTCTTCAGTATTTGAAACAAGCAAAGTATTTATTTGTACGATCTCGAACAATGAAGCTAGATCTTGAAGAGACTTCGATCTTGTCTCGAGATCAACTCTGAATCGGTTAAGACATTCCAACATTTCTTTTTGAATCCTTCTTTCAGCGTGAGTCCTGCATCACTGGCCATCTCACCAACTACTAAGAAGCCGTCTTTCTGTTGAAATATCGTAGTCTTCCGATTGTTTGCAATATCTATTGCTTCTTCCACAATGTGACCCCGTTTTTCTTTGTTATAAAGACGAAGTGACTCCGTTTTTGTAGCAGTTGCTTCAACAGTTAAGCCTTTACTTTAAAAGGACGAAATCGACAAGTTAGAGCTACTGGACGTCAAAGACAGCCTACAGTGCAACATGATCGTTATATGAGGCAACTAGCACTTAGAGTTCCACAACGAGGGCCGTTGCGAACCAGTGATGGTTTGATGATGTTGTAAGGGCATTAACAATGGGGACACGATTTTGGTTGTATTACACTTACAGTCGATTCCGTTGGTGTCCGTCCAAAGAAAATTTCACTGTACCACCTTGTTTGCATATATTTAAAGTATATTCAGATAAGAGATAGACCGGATGTAAACAAAAGGTTCGGGTGATTTTCACGCTAACGCGGCCGTCTCGACCTAAAACAGGAGCCCTCATTGGTCAATTCGCAATTAAATGCCTATGCCGAGCGGCAGAGCAGTCGTATCAAGGCAGAGTCACATTCAGGTTCAGACGTGTTACGTATGTCGTGTGCATCATTGCAATTTGATATTTCTTTGGACGTTTTCGTTTGTTATCTTATTAAGTTGTTGAGTTTGTCGTTGTTATTGTTATACCTTGTTATTGATTGTTATTGTTGTCAACTGCTTGCGCAAAATGCCCAGTAGTACAGATACTGCCGATGAAGTTGTAAACTCCTGTAGTCCACCTAGGAAACGCTCTAAAAAAAGACACCTGAGTGCAGAAATGAAAGAGGTCATTTTGAATATACAGGGTGACTTTGAAGTTGAGTCATTAATTTTCAGATAATGATTGTAGAAGGAAGATAAACCAAAATATGTGTGTAAAAATAAAAAAAAAATTAAAAAAAAATTTTACCTTGTTTTATAAAGTATCCTCCCGACAAGTATTTCAGTGCGGACCTGTATTTGATCGTGAGGTCCCCTGTGAGGTCTTAAGTCACCTGATTCACGAGCCCGTTGTACTTCATTAACAAAGGCACGAGGGGTTGGTTGCACTCGATTGGGAAACCGATCCGCATAAACATGTGCCATTTTTTATTTCACTATTCACACGCGACTGAAACTGACTGTATGTATAACTGAACTGAATTGTAATCGTAAAAACATCGTTCCAAATTCTTTCGCTTTTTTGTTTCCGATGCGATGAACCGTTGTTGCCAAACACGAACACATGATATTATTGAGACAGGGCGGTACTCAAACTTCCAAAGGGCTATAACTTTGTTACTTTAATTTTACCAGAAAAATGGTAAAGGAAAAAAACATTTCTTTTGATCAGATCTACACACTGTTAAAATAAATGACTCAACTTCGAAGTCACCCTGTATATATAAGATCGAGCGCGAGGAGAACGAGGCATCAACCATCAAAGAAATTGTTGTGAAGGTTTCTCACAAACTTGGGGTGTGTCGCGCATCAGTGTTTAATGTGTTAAGACAATACAAAGAAAATCACACCTTTTCTGAGCCAATGACCAGTAAACATCGCAAAAGTATTGTTAAATCATTGGATGAAGCTGATAAGCATGCGATTAGGAGGAAAATGCATGAATTCTTCTTTAGGAATGAAATACCTACTATAGATAAAGTACTGCAGGAGGTAAATGAAGATACAACGTTGCCAAATTTCAAACGATCAACTTTCCATGCGTTACTGAAGCATTTAAATTTCAAATGGAAAAAACGGGGTCGTAATAGTTTACTACTGGATAGAGAAGAAATTGTGCTATGGAGGAGGGATTATTTAACAAAAATTGGGAAATATAGAAATCAAAACAGGAAGATTTATTACCTTGATGAAACGTGGGTAAACGCAGGACACACTACAAGTAAAGTATGGGTTGATGATTCTGTAACTTCATCCAGCAGGGCCTTTCTAGATGGACTGTCCACCGGATTAAAAAATCCAGCAGGTAAATACGAGTAATAGATAACAATCGGATGTTTTTCAAACCTTGGGAACAAGGTTCTAAACATTAATTCCAGGGGGCAGATAAAACATATTACAAGTAACAAAACTTTTATGACTTTCGATAAAATGCGTGGATATTTTATTGTCATTTTCATTTGTTAGAACTTTTTTAAGCCATCTTTTTATGTGTTTTCGATATTTCAATAATTTTTTTAATATAATCTTAAAATATGTCGAATATTATAAACTTAAAAAAAGTTACTAAGTTTTATATTGTGTACCGTTCCTAATATTTCTAATCATTTTAATTCATACTTTAAGCTTTATAAAGTTATAATTTGTTAATATTAATATTTGCGCGTATTTCAGGTTCCTGAACATTCATTTTTTAAAGGTTTATAACTTTAAATTAAATTGTGAAGCGCTGAGTAATCATACGACGTTCAATATTCTTTCTTTCAATATGACTAAATAATCCCAATTATAGCAATCTGATACTCATGTCTCAATGTTTTTTCGCTGAATGTGATGAAAACATTTGAAAAAGGTTCGCTTATTGAAATAAATCTACACCAGTTAGTACTTCGATTTCCAGGTAAAGGGAAAAGGCTCATTATCTGCCATATTGGCAGTGAGGATGGATTTGTTGTTGACGATCTGTGGTGCTTTGAGTCTAAGAAAACTGGAGATTACCACGAGGAAATGAATGGCGAATCGTTTGAATAGTGGTTTTCAAAAATTTTACCGAACTTAGAGGAAAACGCAGTAATTGTGTTGGATAATGCGCCTTATCATTCTCGAAGAATGGAGAAGGTCCCAACAACGGCTTCAAGGAAAGTTGATGTTCAAAATTGGCTCCGCTCGAAAAATATCAACTTTGAAGAAGCAATGCTGAAAGTACAATTATTAAGAATTGTCAAGGATCACAAGGCGGAATATCAAAAATACGACATTGACGAAATGGCAGCAAGTCAAAATAAAACTGTGCTCCGTTTACCTCCATACCATTGCGAGCTCAATCCCATTGAGCTCATATGGGCAGAGGTTAAAAATTATATAGCTAAGCACAATACAACTTTTAAATTTTGTGACCTCAAAGGACTTTTCAAAGAAGCACTAGAATTAATAACAGCGCAAAAATGGGAAAACTGTATTAAGCACGTGAAAGACAAAGTTGAAAAGAGAATGTGGGAACTGGACAATATTTTAGAGGAACAAGTCGAGCCATTCATTATTGACGTTGGTGCTTCAGGCAGTAGCGATAATGAAAGCTCATCAAGCTCATCTTTCCAATAAAAGATGTCGTTCATCAAATTCGGTAAGTTATAAGTAATTATAAAGCTACTGTATTTTTTAATTAATTATTGACATTTTTGAACCCATTTTGGCAAAACCTATTCAAGAATCTACTTTCTGACAATGTTCAACCATGCACATTTTTTTACGTTTTGAACGTTTTAATTTGGTTACATATTTACCTAGAAATCAAAAAATATACTAATCAATATTCTAAAAGCAATTTTAAGAGATATACGATTATTTTTAATTTAGGCTAATTTAAACGCCATTTTGAGATTATATTCGACTGTATTTCACCAAACATCAGGCGGCATCCGAAGCTGGAAATCGAAGCGAAAATTTTGAAACCCTTATGTATATTTACATCATTATATATTTCTTACCCCAACCCCACATGATCCTATATCCATCACCAATCGTATACACATCGAATTGTGCTAATTTACTACAAAGTTACGCAAAGCAGCATCTACTATCTAAAATATGAACTGCGTGACTCTTAATACGTCCCTGCCGAATGTTACAGCGTTCGATGATCACGTGGTCTTGTTTATGTCCGGTCTATCTCTTATCTGAATATACTGTAGGTTCGTACTTACAGTGTGATATACTAGATCAATCTTGAACGAAAGCGGATCGTGTTCAGTTGGCGGTAGACTGCACAGTGCCTTAGTTATCTCTGCTGGCCTCGTGAACAAAAATTCAGAGCTCTTAGAAAAATCTGCTAGCATTTTTAAATTTCTGCTTATTGACTTGTACCGATTGCTGAAAAAAAAGATCGTAATTTGCATTGGATAACAGGACAACTTCCGCATATGAGGTTTGAATATAAAGTTCAAAACATCGCGAAAATAAAACCGCAATTCTCAATGGTGCAAAATTAAATAAAAATGACAGATATTGCGAGAAATTTCAAGTAGCCTTCAATTTAATGTAATGACGTACATATATTTGTAGGCTGCCAAACTCGCCTGATTTGAGTGAAAGGTGCTATTCATGGAAAACATCGCATGCGGATGATACAGATTCTGTATCGCTCCTCTATTTTGTGAGTCGTACAACGTAAAATAATGCTCCAGAAATTGATTTATTAGATCTAGACCTTCTAAACTGCATAGAAAGTTGGGCCTCGTGGCTGACAGATCGTTCACTTTTAAAGGAACGCCATCCTGAAAATAAAACAAAATGCAATGGGTAATTTTGGCATTGTTTGTATATCGGTGTAAATAATAAGTTTTGTTTCTCTTATTATGGCAAACAAAGTCATCGCAAGATAATAGCGATAAGTAGCAACACTTTCGAGGTATTACGAGGGTGGTCCCAGAAGTACCCGACCCAACGGAGAAAACAATTTTGTAAAAAAACAACAATTTTGTAAAACCACTGAGCCATTTTTTCAAGTTTGGAAACAGAAAATAATCCGAGGGGGCTAAATCTGGTGAATAGGGTGCATGAGGTAGCAATTCAAACTTTAATTCGTTAATTTTGGCCATTACAATAGCGGATTTGTGAGCTGGTGCATTGTCTTGATGAAACACTTTCTTCTTAACCAAATGCGGCCGTTTTTGCTTGATTTCATCGCTCAAACGTTGCAATGAGTTCGCAAAATATTCGCCGTTGATAGTTTTACCATTTTCAAGATAGTCAATGAAAATTATCCCACGCGCATCCCAAAAAACCGACGCCATAACCTTGCCTACAGATGAAACGGTATTCGCCTTCTTTAGAGCCGGTTGTCCCTTTTGAATCCATTGTTTTGATTGTTCTTTTTTCTCGGGTGTGAAGTGATGGACCCATGTTTCATCCATGGTTATGAAACGACGCAAACATTCTGCTTTGTTGCTGTGAAACTTCGCTAAACACTCGATTGAAACATCTTCACGACACTGTTTTTGCTCCGCAACGGCGGCACCCATCTTAGACACAGCATTCTCATGTCCAAATTTTCAGTTAATATGCGATGAACCGAACTTTTTGAAATGCTTACTATGTCTGCTAGCTCGCGCACTTTCAGTCGACGATCATTCAGTACCGCTTTGTGAATTTTCTTCACCATTTCTGGAGCCGTCACCTCATTCGGTCGACCAGTGCGATGCTCGTCTTGGCAGCTCATACGGTCTCGTTTAAACGCTGCTACCCAATATTTTACTGTTGTAAACGAAGGAGCAGACTCACCCAGAGTAGAACTTTTATATTGGTTGGGCTGACGCCTTTGAAATAAAAGTATCATACCACATAACGATGACCAATTTTCACAAATTCACTGAAAACGTTCACTATTGATGGCTGCCAAACAAATACTAAACAACGTGGCGTCTTCAAACTTGACACATATGCTTTATAGGTTGCATACTTTCTAATACAATGATATTTTTCAAACAACTATCGCCATGTCTAGGTCAAGCCGGGTACTTTTGGGACCACCCTCGTATACCGATAAGTTCCATAAAAATGAGGTCTGTTCTATTTTCAAAAATAAGATAATTATATTTATTGCTTATACATGTATGGTTCGCATGAAAGGCTTGATAGCATACATACATTCAAAGAACTCAGTAATTTGACTAATGAGATATAAGCTATTTCATATTTGAAAAGATGCATATAATCAAAAATACTCAAATTCAGTTCTTGCTTTTCCAGCACCAAAGCGGCTGTTGAGCTGTGAAGAGCTTTGATCCGACTTTCGTGAAACCATTTAAATAAAAACCTTACCAAGGTTTCCAGATGAGGAAACATATTTAATATGTCCCGCATATACTGTGTAGGATTAGAACTGTATTCTTCACATAGCGGATTACCATCTAATACCAAATGGTGTAATTTATATAATACCAATGGTGACAACAGACTATGATCCTTAATCTAAAATAAAAATTTATGTTAAAATGGGTGATAGACTGATATCAATACAAGGATAACAAGTTCTGAAACATATAATGTGATTTCTATTTGACTGCAGTTCACATTACATGATAATTATACTTCACCAGTTCTTACCTGATTATTTCCCAAATCTATGCTCCTGATACTGCTTATACACACTTTTAATGCATCGAATGAATGTAATAATCTGATCTTATTCTCCCTGAGAATGTATGTCTCAGGAATCAAATTTTTCGATAAGTGTAGAACAAAAAACATTATTTTAGGTTGTCCCAGAGGGCAAAACTCAGTCAAATCTAAAATGTATCAACTAGCAGGTTCAACGATTTAACTAAAGATAAAAGCTAATACCTGGATCATCCTGAAACCGGGTCAGATCCAAACACCTTCTCGTTGGATCAAACCGTTTCTCTAGCACAGCAGATATATTTTTTTGCACGTCTACTTTAAACAGTGTTGTTGTTGTGTATCTCAAAATTATCTCCATTCTCAGCTAAAATTCATCAACAGAATTGTCCACTGTAAAAATATTACTTATACTATTTAAATTCAAACGACTTCATCATAAAACAGGTGGTTTCTATTTGAAAAAAAATTACTATTTTTATTTTTTAATATCCAAGTTTCACTCTAATTGTTACCATCCTATACTATTTATCTCAATCTGAAATAAGGTCGATTAAAGCAGGTCTCCTGCTGCCAGAAACATACTACAAATCATATATGGCACAGGAAAAAATACAAGAAAAAAAATGGTTGAAACTCAATGGCCTGTATTTGTGGATTCTTATGCAAAGTTTGAAATATTTCAAAAACAATTAGACTTACGTATATGATGATATACTTAAAATGTATTCTGAATCTCGCATAGAATCCAAAAATAGATAATATACAGGGTGATTTATTCAAAATAATGAAAGTTGTATCTATTTTAAAAATATTACATAAGATATATGGTTATCAAAAACAATGATCATATCAATGTAAGCAATGCCAGAAACCAGTGTTCCAGTCCAGAGAAAAAATATCAAACAATAGCAATGCTTATGCATGTCACCTAATATTACCAACGTTACTTACAGGTTGAGATCGATTATAAGGATTTGGCACTATCAAATGGTCCTTACACAGCTTCTGTATGGCTGCAGCACAGTTTCTGGCCAAAAAGTAATTAGAATTGTTATTATCTTTTCCATATGAGACCGGTATTAAGTCGAATGGAAAAACATGATCTAAGACTGCCGTCAGTAGATCATTCCTACTCAGATTGCTGGGGTTGTGGATCTGTAAATGAAGAATTATGCATGCACTAGGTTATTTAAAAACTCTGTATTTTCAGTAATAAATGTGAGCATTCAGAGAACATGGGAAGGAATGTACACTGTAGTGCTTAATGTCTATATACAATTTGAATGGTTTCCTACATAAAGAACTTCACTACTGTTGTTTCCCAGATCACTGGGACCCTTGTAGTTAATTCCTTGATGTGTTGTGTATTGTTTATATCACGCACGTGTACAGGTACATCTCATCGCTGGAGCTGGTTCATTATTTCACTTCGATCAAAGAAAAACTGTATATACCGAGAGTTAGAATACTAGCACTGTAAAGCACTATAATTTATACTTACAATAAATTTATGCCAAAGATTAACGTTGTCGATCATCTTTTTGTTTTTGTATACGATACCGGTTTGTATATTAGCTTCTGTAATCGTGATGGCGCCGAGTATAGGTTTAACATTATCGAAACTCATTTTGACACAGGCAAGTGTTGATTTTCAAAATTGCCAATAATAAGAATTAAATGGTAAATGGACTGAAAATCAAAATATTTAGGAGTTTATGTTTACGTCCTAACCTCCTTTTGGATATTTGACATTGACATGTGTTGTCACGATGACAGTATGTGACTAGTGGTGAGTAGTCTGAATCCTGTCAATGATTCGTTTAAGAGATTCAGTTTTTTGCCATAATGGTGGAGAAAGATGACGTCACCTAGATCGATTGGTCGACTCGAACTTTCTGTTAAGTGTAAAAATTAGGAATACCACCGATTCATGGATCTTGAATACCCTAAAATTGAGAGTCATTTAAAACCGTCTAAGCATTTTTAAACCTTACTTCGAAGGGATAAGAATGAAAAGACTAAAAGCATTAGCAGCCATACGTATTCACAGCATGCATTATTTAATATAATTTTATCTATATGTAATTCTCTGTGTAACTTTGAGTTAGCTGTTTTTTTCAATTTAGCAGGTAGAGATGAATCATCAAAAATTCAACAAAAATGGATTCATCAACGTTCTATTATAACCTCAAGTTCCATGGTCATATATAAATCGTAATCGTACATTTTTCAAATTCGTACGGACAACCGATATTTCTATAAAAGTCTGACGACCCCTTTACCTTGAAGCACTGCATGATCGAATCTATGTTTATATTGCTTTAGAATCACTCAACTAATCACTTCTCATAATAATTAGAAATCTACTTTGAAAGATTAGTTGGACTGCAGCGCCATCTATGAGACACGAACTTTTTCCAAATACTGCGAAGAGGTGAAAAATAGCTGTGACAAATTCTCATAGATGGCACTACACGGTATCTCAATTCATCTCGGACAGAGAACGTTAATCAATGCCTCCACCCATCTACCGCGATCAATGAGTCTATCAGAGGTATCTTATCAAACTTATACATGATATTTGTGCAATCTCGTTCGCTTTTGCGTTTTAAGTAGATTTCGTTGGGTAGTTTCAAAAGCGTACCACATGTCTAGGGAACTGCATGATAACGGTAGTCAACTTGGACGACTTGCTTGGAGGAAGAAGTGTAGTTAGATACACGTGATATTACTTGTATTCATTGTACTTGTTGAACGCTGGATTTTTAAGTCAAAACAGCAGGTTGCACAATACGAATCTTTAGATTGACGATTCATTTTTCATGCCCATCTTATTCCTAACATTGGCTCATTGACTTAACTTATGCAACATACATAGCATGTAGAGTAGGTGGGATTATCCGTTGGGAACCAACCAATCATAACGCAGTTCATGAGGTTATTTGAGTATCTTTTTCATCCTTTTTCTCTGTTCAATCAGTCCGTGAGGTAAGGTGTCGGAGGGCAGGTTGTCGTCGTTTCTTCACTTTTAAGAAAACTCGTTATACCGCCCTGTCAAAAATACAACGGTTTTTTGTTTAGATTCGTGTGAAATGTCGTGTTATTGAACGGGCTTCCGTTAAGTTTTTTAAGGAATACACCATGGCTATGCAACGAGAGGTCGGTGTCGGCGATTTTGTCCTTTTGGACAAAATCGACCTGGACAGCTTCATGAAGAATCTGCAATTGAGGTAAATGTTCAATACTTGCACCTAAACTGATACGGGAGTGTACGTGTGTCAACAAAATGAAATGAATAATCGATGATGTCAATCCTAGCAGTATCGGTTTCAAAATAAACGCGGTATAACAGGACAGGTGTACATAACAAAAGAGTATCGAGGATGACCTATTCGCGGTTCACTTGATAACGTCGGCGACGGCGGCAGAATGTTAATGGAGAATTACAGAACACGACTTGAAATAATTATCATGTTGACGGCACTTTCGTGTTCTAATGTACTCGAAAGAATTTGCCCTCGCTGCTAAACAAATGTTCCATAAAAATAAAAACACTGAGCTAAAAATTCTAAATACTGCAAAATTATCCATTACACAGTTCCTCACAGGCTTCGAAGCTCTAATTTGTTATTGTTAATGTCACCATGCATCAGTCAATCTTAGGGAGTGTAAATGTAAATGGCAACACTGGCTTGGTGCTGCCCGATCAGCGACTTGTGTTTTCATAAAGCAGAGCACAGACAGAAGGTCGGAACACACGCCTACGACCGACCTGGGACAGCGTTGATTTTTCGCTGATGCTTGAATTGTATACTTAATAGTATTGGTAACATTACAGTATACCCCCTGGGCCCTAGCACCACTGGCTTGGGCCCAAACGATACAAAATGATTGATGATCATGTTTGGACCATATTTGTCAATTTTTAGGTGAACCATTTACTTATTCATCTCAAAATTTGCAAAGCAGTAGATAATTTACATGTTCAAAGCTTGGGAATTGGGATGTTTTGGAACTGAAGGGCACCAGCCTTCAGCTTCAATACTTTGAAGGTGATAAAGTGAGTCTTAAGCTCCAAATGTTCAAAAAAATCCACCACAGATCCATAAGCACTGTGTCATCTTGTTTCTCATTTTGCTATTACATGGCTCTCGATATGTGTAACAAATTTTAAGGATGATTTGTTCAAATTCGTTTGAACGATGTATATTTCGTGCCCTTTGAAAAGATATTGACATAAGTATTTACTTTGTGCTGAGTCACAAAGTAGGTATATGGAAAGAATGATAACTTAGGAACAGAAACATTGTCTTCTGCGATTTCCCTAGCGAGATACATGTTTATTTTCAATCAACTTGAATTGTTATTGAACTCGGCAACGTAAACGTCGTTGGTCCGGTGAGATGAGTCATTACAAACTCTTTAAATCTCGTCTGAGGATTACATCATTCGCTTGTTAAAAGCGGGGTCGTCATGTGAATCATTCTAGACTATATTCTTTTACGATATTTTATACACTGGACCATGGGGCAGACGCCTAGTAGGTCGTGTGTCATTATTATATTATTAATCAACCATACACTTTCGTGCAGTGGCGTGCCATACGTATAAAGTATTTTACCAACTTGCGCAAACCTTTTATATTTTTTGGTCTCCAAAAACCACCGGATTGCAACGTTGAGTTAGCGCCTGAGGTAGTTCAAAAAGCATCTGGGTCATGTCGAAATAATATGAACTATGGAAGAGAAGCGTCACTCCGTCGTTAAAACAGCTTTTGGCGAAGTGTCGGAAAGGTATTGTAGTATCCAAAATCCTACATGCAGTTTAACTGTGGTATCGGTGATATAGTAGTGAGGAGGAATGTAAACATCCAGGTAATGAGGGTCACTGCAGAACACTTTCAGACGTGTTTCACGTGTCTCAAAATAAGCAGGGACTGGGGTACTGAGATTTCGAAGCCCCTTTAATGATGTAAATGCGAGTATTGTTATTACAACACATTTGGCATTGAGATATATAGAACTAAAAGAGTTAAGATATGCATTTAATTCAAAAAGGCCACCGTGATTGCCGAAACGTTGTCAGTATAAGCATATTGCATGACATTCGGTAGCGAATCCAAAGAGCAACGATTCTTTTTGCTCTCCTAAAAAGTTGTTAGTTTTTTTTTATTAGACAGCTGTGGTTCTGGTGTAATTATCGGAGAATATCCATTCAACATTTTGAATTTTATATTTTTATGGCGTTTCATGGTATACCCAAAAAGTATGAATTCCTTGTTCCAACATCGGTTGTAGATTGTTCAAGTATGTTGCGAGAAAACAGCTGTGTTCCATTTTTTCACTTTATTTTATACCCTTAAGTGAAACATAAATACTTTTGAAAAACAAAAAGATTGTTTACATCTACAATGAAAACGCTGTTAGGGTGTAAGCATACAGTTTGGATGTTCTGATTTCTTTTCTGGCTACTTTTTTAGCGTCCTTGCACCCATTTTCAGACCACAATGTGTGAAACGCTAAAGCCCCTAGTTATCAAACCACAATATTTTCCAGAAAATGCTATTTGTCGTATATAGTTTAGTCAGAATCACCTTATATAAACACTATTACTCTATGTCATGATGTCTAGAAATCAATAAAAGGTATGAAACCGCTCCTGACCAGCCGCCAGTAGCCCTTCTTCTCATTATTCGTATTCCTTGTGCTAGCCTCGCAACAGTAAATCATAAACAAAAGAAAGCCTATTGTATAGCGGCATGTGTGATGCTGTATCTATCCAGTTGCAGGGTGTATGTAAAGCTAGACATACACGCTACCAATATGCATGATGTATGTGCAGCTCGGATCGGTTATCTTTGTCCTGAGTGTGAACCTATTATTGCCGATCTCGTAATAAATACTCGTATACGTTATATAAAAGTGAAAGTGGTTTATGTATTTTTATCTGAACTCAAAATATAGATCCATGGAATGGGTTAATAACTCTAATTATTGTTAGATCATTAATTATTATTAATGTTTATAATATACATTGTATGTATAATTAGGAAATAAGCATTGCGAATTGTGAATAATTATATTCTACACAGAACATCCGAAATCACAAATTCTGAAATTAAAAATTGTCGCGTGTTCAATGCCTATCAGATTGACATAATTATACGGTTAAAATAGTACGAGAACGGACCGCTTGAATATGCAGGTAGTTGTGTTTTTATAAAAATTTTATGAATGGTGAATAATGGCAGAAGATATTACTGAAACCGACTGGAACTTTTCGACATCAACATATATAATGTTTGTACATTATATCATTATCTATCTATCGCAATATTTTCAGGATGTGGTTGTTTGGATTGATGTATTATCTCAGTTCCTTAACACGTAAAAATCGTTAATGCCAGTGGATAATCTGAAATCCATTCTTAACCCCGATTGCTTCAGTTTATTTCCTTCTTAGAGAGTCTCAAATCCTTGTTCATGCTAGCTTGAGATTTGATTAAGCAAAAACAACCCGGAAAGTTTTACAGTCGGTTACGCTTTATCGCAGACTTTTATCAAAGATTATGATAAACGTGTTTCATATGTTTTTGGCCGCTATCTATATTAGGGTGTCCCAGTCTGTGAGGAGAAACAAATTTTAATTTTTTTTGAACACCCTGATCTACCGGTGCGCCATCTTTTATGCCGGTATTGAAACATCGAATGACTTTGATATTTACCAACCGAGTGATTTGGTTATACGTGTTTTGGAAACGTCAATTTACTACAATTTTAGTCATGAATCGCTTTACACCGAAACAACGGGCATATCGTCGAAAATATCGTGGCAAACAGGCACCCGTCTGACAACACTATCCGTCGTTAGGTTTCGAATTTTTTGAGTGCGAGACAGTGAGAGATCGTCAACATCGAAGACGTTCCAGCGTTGCCCAGAGCCCAAAAGTGTCGTATCGTCACCGCGCTCAGCATCTCGGCATCGGTGGAACCACGTTGCTGCGCATTTCGAAGGATGATTTGCATTTGTTTCCTTATCAGGTGCAATTAACACAAAAAAAATCGCCAACTGACCGTCCACGTCGCTTGGAATACGCCCAAACAGTCGCTCGCAAGGTTGATGCTGAACCCGATTTTTGGAATCAAATTGTGATGACCGACGAAGCCCATTTCACGCTCTCCGGCCGCGTTGATAAGCAAAACTGCCGCGAAATGCCGTTGCATGTCCGAAAAGTGAGTGTTTGGACCAAAACCGTCATTGGGCCATTTTTCTTCAACGAAAACGACACAGTCGATGGAAATCGATATCGGTCGATGTTGGCTCATTATGTCTGCCCACAAATGCGTGAAAAAGGTCTTGATGGTTACTGGTTTCAACAAGACAGTGCGCCAGGCCACACTGCACATGAAACAAGCCAGTTTCTGCAACGAAAATTCCCTGGACGACTGCTGTCAAAAAGAGGTGAATTATTCATACCAATAAGAACTCTAACATTCAGTTTCTCGACCCTACTCGGTTGTCTAATCACTAAAACAACCTAGAAGAAAATGACCGTATGACTCCAGGTTAGTTCCATGATCCTGATGATCCTAAAGAGCACGAAACAGTAGCGGCGTCGCGACGGTTTCTTGGGCAGATCAAACCAGTTCTACTTTGAGCTAATTTGCCTGTTCAATTATTTAACGTAAAATGTGCTTGTTAAATTAGTACTATTCCACCAAGGAAAAAATGTATAAACACGACCGCTCTGGTCTACTTAAACGTGCATAAAGGTGAAGGTACGCTAGACCTGCACGTGAGGAGGTGAATCGATGTCTCGGCATTCTCATCAATGCTGCTACTTTTTATACTATACAGGGTGGCGCATCGAAAACGAAACAGACATATTTACTGGTAGCTCAGTTTTTTTTTGGAAAAACGCTCAGACCCGTCGATTTTGTTTACGAGGAGGACACAAGTTTGGCAAAAAATCACGTTAGCATGTGCAGCCCCCTAAGCGGAGGTGACACCACCCCCAAAATCTTAAATGGAAAGGGGGGTCGAGTGATACCTTATTTTAAAGGTCTTTCAATTCCCTTTGTAATGATATAAAATTAATGTACTTCAGTTCAGTAGTTTTGAAGATTTATTGATTTAAAGCTTAAATAAAACTAATACATCATCATTAGTGGAGATCAATACATTTGGCAACAAAGTAATTTAAAAACGAAGAATGAACTGACCCGTTAGG